GGGATCTACATAAGAAAGAAAATGTGAGAACTCCCTGAGTTTGACTCATTTAGATGAACATAATCTTGACTTCAATCCATAGTCCTATAAATAAGGTAATTTCATTACTCTTCATGGTTGAATAAAACTCCATTACGTATGGATACCACATTTGCTTCACCCTCATCTGTTCACAGACAGCTGGGCTGGCCCCACAGCATGCCAACTGTGAAGAGCACTTGCATGTTTGCAAATCTCTCTGAGGCTGTTGTCCCCTTGTGCCAAGCTTGCGTTAAGAAGGGATAATACCATCTAGGTACATTTTTCAGTATCAGGCGGATGGATAGAATTTTAAGAGCCCAGAATCAAGTGCCAGAATTTACCTGACAGCAACAAAATAATATAATAGACAGCAAAGCCAGGAAGGCAACCAGTGACTAAAGGGGTACTGCCTCTGTGGATGAAATAGAGGGCATGCCACCTAGGGCTTCTCTTGGTTTATATAATAAAAAGCTGACCACTTCTGGCAGAAAGACAGCTCATGTCATCCACTGCAATGGAAAGTTGTTTTCCTCTACCCTCTTCCAGCACAGCTGAGTTGTCATTGTGATAGCCCATTAATTGCAGGAAAGGTAGGGCCTCTGGCAGAAGACTCCTGCAATGTAACCACAAGAACAAGCAACAAGCATCCCTCAGTCCTTTTTCAGAAGACCCATGGCCATTTACCATAAGCAACTATGTTTTGAATATTGGGGAATTTGATAAGGGAAGCAAAATGTAGACACATTCTGTGGCTCTCTCATCCTTTCCCAGTGAGCTGCTTGGGGAATTTGTGCTTCTCATCCTATTCCCTCAGGCTCATTTTATATGGAAACTTGACTCTAGGTGTGGTAAAGGGCAGTGCCACCAAACACAAGGTAAAACCTGCCGTGAACCTAAAGCCTTAACAAGCATATGATCATTTTGGCCTTCTTGTACCATTACATAAAGTAGCAAAATTAAGACATGGCAACTTGGCTAGAGGTAAGATCTCTATTACTATGAAGAACTGGAGGGCATAACAAAAGGAGAAGGGACTCTGCCTTGCAACCTCGAGATTCACTAGAAAGCCTCCTAGTGTTCATCTGGCTTGTGACAACATAGACAACAGTTATAGCAATCATGGCTAAGAAGAAGGGGAAGTCAGCCACAGACTTCAATCCCTCTAAGAATGAAGACTGAATCACCACATGTAACCCAGTCCTTTCTTCGTACTGCCCCACAGAGAGGTGAACATAAAACGGAAGTGATGGGAATAAGTGGTACTCTGAGGACGAATTGCAGGACAGGCTGACATTTATCCACTAACCTTTCTATATTGAGTTTTTGTACCAACTCCTGACAACAAACACCTTGAAGTAGCATTTAACTTAGTTTGTTGTTGTTGTAAGTAGTACAAGCAGCTAGAGGCACAGAAAGAAAGGAAAAGGAAGGTTGAATCGGAAGCTGAAGTGGTCAGTGGAAAGGTATATGCCAAAAATGTATTTCTTGTGAATTTAATTCATGTGCTTTTTAAAAAGATGGACAGGAACTAGTTTATAATAAATCATTACCTTAAGAATTTATGCCTACAAAGTCTGTTATCATTTTATATTATGCAATATTTTTCTTGTGAACATTGTGAAGACTTCACAACACTAACATTTGCCCCAGATGTTTTCTTAAATAATATTAATAATATTTTTCTTATTTGAGAATATCATGCAATGTATTTTGATCATATTTGTACCCTGCAACTTTTCACAAATTAACCCACACTTCCCTACCCACTCAATTTCATGTTTCTTTCTTTTTTAAAAAGCCCATTAAGACAAATTAGTGTTGCCCAAATATTATTTGGATGTAGGGCTTGCCCTGGAGAGTGGACCAACTACCAAGGTTCATACTCTTTAAAGAAATTGGAGTCCACCTCCCCAGCAGCTATCAAATGTCAATAGCTCCTTGCCTAGGGTTGGGACTTAATGCTTATCTTCACACTGGGGTTTTGTCTGTCTTGACTTTGAATAGAACTTGTTCATGCTGTCACAAACATTGTGAGTTGACTCTGAACAGAAATTGTGCTTGCTGTCACAATCATTGTGAGTTCATATGTACAAGTGCCCTCTTGTATCCAGAAACACTTTTTCCCATTTAGTCACCTACTACCTGAGTCTTACAATCTTTCCACCCACTTTTATAAATGATCACTGTGCTTGGGAAAGGGTACATGATATAGCTGTCTCATCGGTGGCCGAACACTCAAGTCTCTTATCCTCTGAGTGTTGACAGTTGTGGGTCTCTGTGTTAATTTTCATCTACTGAAAGAATAAGCTTCTCTGATATGGATTGAGCTATGCATTGATCTCTGGGTATAGCAGTAAGTCAATAGGAGTTGTTTTAAAACTGTCTTCACTCAGCAGGATAATACTACTAGGTTCTCCATTAGGGCTAATTATGTATTGAGTCATAGTTCTTGGCACAAACAACTGCCAGGTTTGGGTGCCATCTCATGGAGCAGGTCTTAAATCCAATCATAAAGAACTTGGTTACTCCTGTGATGGTCATGCCACTATTGCAACAGTGGGCATATCTTGCCAAGACCATTATTATTATGGATCACAGGATTTGTAGCTGGTTAAAATAGATGTTTGTTTTTCTTCTCTGGTAGTTTGCATAACACCTTCCAGCACTATGAAAGCAACTCAGTATGTATGAAGGTTGTCAATACCCATTTGATTTTTCCATTCCTTTTTTCCCTTTTTCATTTTTTGGTTTCATCTCACATTCCAACCACAACTCCCCCTCCCACCTCTCCAATTTCTCCATTCTTTATGACTTAAGTATATGGTATCTTCAGCAATAGGGTCTTACCTTCAAGTTCTGGGGAGTAACAGAGATCAATAACATAAGCCTGTCATGTTTGTAGATCTGTAAGATCCCACTGGCCAGTAACACAAGAAGAGATACCATTTTTGATGTTGGGGTTTTATTTTCTAGCAGGTGGTGTCTTGTCAGGATATTGTTTCTCCATTATAGGGCAGCTCCACTTCAGTTCTAAGTTACCTTGTCATTGCTGTGATGGCACATCATGGTCAAGGCCATTTATAAAGGAAAGCATTTTATTGAGATCTTATTTGCAGCTTGAGAGGGTGAATTGATAATTATCATGGCAGAGAGCAGGGCAGCAGCGCTGGAGCAGTAGCTAAGAGCTTACATCATATCTGCAAACATGAGGCAGAAAGACAAAAAGCTAGTTCACAATGGAGTGTGCTTTTTTAAAAAATAAATTTTTATTTAAATTAAAAACAATCTTATTTTAGATACCAATCGCAGTTCCCTCTCCCTCCAGCCCTCCCACATGCCCCACCAATCTCTCATCACACCCATTATCCACTTCCCAGGGAGGGAGAGGCCTCCTATGAGGGATCATCAAAGTCTGTCACATCATTTGGAGCAGGACCTAGGCCCTTCCCCATTTATCTAGGCTGAGAGATTGTCTCTCCATAGGGAATGGGCTTCCAAAGTCCATGCATGCACTAGGGATAAATAATGGTTCCACTGCCAGAGACCCCATAGACTGCCCAGGCCTCCCAACTGACCCCCATGTTCAGGGTTCCTGGCCCAGTCCTATGCTGGTTCCCCAGCTGTCAGACTGGGTTCCGTGAGCTCCCACTTTCTCAGGTCAGCTGTTTCTCTGGGTTTCCCCAGCATGGTCTTGACCCCTTTGCTCATTCCTCCTCCCTCCCAGGAATTCAGTTCACTGCTTTGCTGTGGATCTCTGTTTTTGCTTCCATCAGCTACCGGATGAAAGCTCTAGGATGGCATATAAGGTAGTCATCAATCTCATTATCCGGGGAGGGTATTTAAGGTAGCCTCTCCACTATTGCTTGGATTCTTAGTTGGGTCATCCTTGTGGATCCCTGGACATTTCCCTAGTGCCAGATTTCTCTTTCAACCTGTAACAGCTCCCTCTAAATCCCAAAGTGTCATCTATTCCTCCCGCCCCCACCCTCACCCCTGGCCCCATGACACACCTCCTCCGACAATGCCATACCTCTTAATCCTTCCCAAACAGTTTCACCAACTGTAGAACAAACATTTACATATTTCAGCTTGTGGGGCTTATTGTTATTGAATTCATCACAAACTTTAAAAAAATATATTTACCTGGTTCTTATCTTACCAATCCTTTCAGTGCCCACTTCCTAAGTTAAATGCCCCCACAACAAAGGGAATGTAGCCAAGGAAAGCTGAACATTTTTAATTGCTCCTTTCTCACAGATTTTTCTTTTCCTCTGATAATTTTCAACAGAGACATAAAGCTGTTGTGGAAGGTAGGGGGAGAACACACACATTTTAGTGACCCCTCCCTGTGCTGCCTGAATGGAATTCTTCTCCTTCTCTGAGGTGGTATTCTATCTCCTCTGGGTGCGTGGTTACGACTTAGGTAAATGTGGGGCAGCTGTGATGTGAGCTTGTCACTTTTTTGTTCCAAGAAAGTCTGTGCATGTTAACTGTGTCTCCAGGTAGGGGAATGATGTGCAATGTCTTTTCTTACTGAATAAAAAGGGAATAAGGAGATGGTTTTTGTTACATTTGCTCCGGGCAAATTTGAGCACTTAGTTCAGATTTACCTTGATATAACAAATTGGCTTTGCAATTCTTCTCCACAGAGTTTGAACCTCATCAAACTGCCAGCAGTAACTATTTTATATCTGCAGGCACTTTGGATATTTGCTACATCTTTATATAAATTGAGTAATACACAGTTGAACTCCTGGTTGACTATATGTCTTCAGAGTTTATGTTTTCTTTGAAATATTTTTCTATTTTAGTTTTACTTTGGAGGTGTTGGTGTCCCCATTGTCTGCTTTTCATTGGTGCTTTTGGAAATGTTGCTGCACTTCTTATTTGTTAGAGCATTCATTTCTCTGAAGGAAGAGAATTCTGGGGATGCCTCCTTTTGTGGATTTTATTTTTCAAAGCCTTGCCATGGATCTTAAAGTTGAAAAACAAAGACATGAATAATTCCAAGTTTATAGGAAGAATGTTTTAGAGAGAGGTCTACAGGTTAATTTTCAGGGGAAATTAGTGGTATAGCCACTGGACTGTGAAAATAAAATGTGAAAACTTGAATAGGTTAAATATTCAGGCATGGCCTTAGAGAATAGCCCTCCAGTTTGCTGTTGAGAAGGCAGACCAGTGAATCAAAATGGACCCCCCCTTTATATTCTCAATGTTAATGGAGCTATAATGTGATATATTTTTAAAGAAGTGTCTTCCCTCAACCTCATGGCAAGTGCGTGATTTTTTTAAGTGGGCTCAATGTTGACTCATACAACAACTAAGCCAGAAATAGAACTTCCCGTTTGTTTAAAGTGTAGTAATGATATTAAGTACAGGAGCCTCAAAAGGAGCACAGAAAGACAGGAAACTGTGGCTTGAAATGTAACAATGTACATAGTTGAACATAACCTAATGAAAACAATGTTGTTTAAGCTTTGGCAAATGTGAGCATTTCTACATACAGTGCGGCTGCTGATTCATTTTGGAGTACTGCCTTTGGCAAACAAGTGCAGGCTCATCTTAAAACACTTATAGAACATTAAGAACCTAAGTGTTACTAAAATTTACTTAATTTATATGGAAAGGGAACTTCATATTTCAATAGGTCTCGCAGGGCTTTAGACATGGCTTGTCATTCATGAATATTGAGCAAAATAGGGGCATCCAGCTTCGTATTATAAAACCATATAGATCAGACCACAGCCTTCCCAGACTGCCATCTTCAGCATTAGCTCTTGACTTTACTCATAATAGAAATATTGAAAGTTTTCCTGTAAAATATGGGCTAGGAATTTTAGAACCTTTACTTTCCTATTTTATTCAACAGCCAAAAATGAAATGTGATTCTCCTAACATGGTGCTGGCATGAGGCACACTGTCTATTTCAATATCAATCCGTAATACACTCTAAAATGCTTGCTGGCAGTTGTGGCTACAGCCTGGACTGCTTGAAATGCCTCCATAATCTATCCTTAGCTGTGTTAGTCAAGTGTTTATGTTGCTGTGATGATATGCCTGGGGAACAGAACCCCTGAAAGCAGCAGGATTTGTTTTGGCTCTCGGCTCAGGGATTTTGGTTGTGTGGCTGGGTGGGCCCTGGTCATCAGCTTAACATGAATCAGGGAACCACTGTGCAGAGATTGTACTGGAGTAAAACTGTTCATCTCTGTTCTGGGAGGCAGAATGAGACAGGAAGGAGCCATAGACAAGGTACATCCTTCAAAGTCACACCTTAACTGACCCATTTCCACCAACCAGGACCTTCCTCCTGGTTAGCATCACCTTCTATCAATGCCATTACACTATGCATCCATGAGTAGGTTACATCACTGACAAGGTCAGAGATCTTATGATCTAATCACTTCCCCAAAGTCTCATCTCTAAACAATATATTAGAGACCAGGACTTCGACACATACATTTTGGAGAAACTCATTATTTAAATCAACATCCACTGACTGGTGCTCTGTCCTGAAGTCATACTTCAGCAAGTGGTTTTTTTGTTCCCTTGTCATTTCTTTGGACACTATATGACTGAGAACTCTGGTTTTTTTTTTTTTTTTTTTTTTTTTTTTTTTTTTTTTTTTTTTTTTTTTAAGAATACTGCTATAGCCTTGTTGGAGAGTTTAAAGGACAAGGAGATCCTCCATTGTGATGAGAAACGTCATTTAGAATGTCCATATGGTACCAGAAGAGAAAAATCCAGGCTTCCAGATGAGCAGTTTTTTCCAAATTTGCTGCTTAGCCAGCAGATCTCGCCTCCTTGAGTTGTTGATACTGTCTCTGAGTGTCAATACATTCAGGTCAGCATCTGTGTGTTGCTTTATGCCTTTGGAGTTGATGCTACTCAGTAAACCGCAATCCCTTTGTGGGGATGATGTTGGAAACCCACAGATTAATCTTCTCAGGTTGTGCTTTCTTTCATTTATTCTGTGATAGTGCTCTTGCCATCTCCAGTTCTACTTCGTATTAAAGACAGAACCTCTGCTTGCTCTAATAATAGGTTTTAAGTCAGGAGGAAGAGAGCTTTAACTCAGTTGGCATGGAGGGCAGAATATACGGTGCACTGAATAAACAAAGACCTAGAAGGCTTTTGTCAGCCTAAAATACTCCCTGCGATTGTTTTTGATGAAATAATAATAATTATAGTGACGGCTGAGGCTTGCCACTGAAAACCTGTAATTTTTAGCAGCTGTGTCACGACCATAACAGCTACTGGCATGTATAAAATAAAATGTACGTTTCCCTGAACTGTGATTGCCCCTATATGTAAATACCCTATTACTTGCTGGGCCTGCTTTTTAATTGTCAACTTACCTGAAGCCATCCTGAAAATTCATATAACTTCAAAAGTTTTGTCTTATGAACTCCTAAGGGATTTTGAAGACAATGATTATTTTAAAATAATTAATAGAATTGATCTAAATACAGTTTATTAGGGAAAATTTGGTTATGCATAGTTCCAATCACATGGATTGCTGCACACCTAGCATCAACTAATTAGCTATTTAGAAGATGGAAATCTGCCCAACACCAGTGACATCAAAGGACTCTATGGTAGGAGATGATATATAAATGTGATCTTCACAGTAACCAACTACCTTATTTCCAAAGTTGTATTTGTGCTGTCAATAATTTATCAAAGAGGGATGGAAGCCCTTCTGAGATTCTGTTTAATATATTTCATGATGTAACAGGATTTGCTAGACAAATGCCTACTACCTTCAAAGAGAACACAGTTGGTATAGTTGCTTGGTGTTGGGAAGAGTAAAAGAATCAGGTCTGTCTTTAGAGATTTCAGTTCTGTTAGGAAAGGTAGGCATGTTAATTTGAGATAAGAACATTAATCTGGAATCAACAGAGGTATAGATGTTCACAGGTGATGATGTACAGTCTAATGACAGAGGAAAGAATTCAAAAGGAAGAATTTAGCACCACATGGTGACAGGTACGTGGCTAATTTGATTTTCTTGTTTGCTGCAGCCATCCAAGGATCTGGAGTCAGGGTCCAGAGGGAGGCAATACTTATACTGGAGGAGAGCAGTGGTGCTCAAAAATAGAAGGAAATATTCAGAGTAGACAACACCATGGGTGTGTCCAGTAGACACGTAATGAGTCTTGATTGAAGAACGAAGGAGGGAGAAGAGAGGGGATTATGGACCAAACAAAGGACAAGAAAAGGGATGTGGATATCAGAAGATCCAAAGTGTACAGAGCATGGAGAATTCATTGCAATAGGCAATCTTGCACGTAATTTGTATTCCTCCTGCTCCCAGCAGAATCAGAGCTGGGAGGGGACCAACTTTATTAGCAAATTTATACCAGAATGTGGATATATTCCTTTAATTCCTACTTTCTCCCCTCCAGATTTTGTTATTATTATATATGTAAATGGAAAATTATGTGTCAATCAGCAAAATGAACTAAATCTTTCTTAAGTTGGTGTGAAATCATAAATTTGTTTGAAAACAATATTTCATGCTGGCTTTTCATAAACAATTTGATATCCCTTCACAGTCTGGATGAAGCTGTCTTGCTCGACAGGGAGATAGAGAAAATACACAATGTTGTGGCCTCTGGTCCTGAAATAAAAATAGTGGTTTGATTAAATGCCAGTTGGTTGTAAACGATAACCCACGTAAACAGTGGGAAATCATTACACTTAAGCAGTGAATTCTAATTTAATTTTATGGCCTTTGGAAAGAAATCCCTCAGGCCAGTCAGCAGAAGTTAAGCGATGGTGACTGAGCTAAGGCTTAGAGGGATTACAGCTAGGCTGGGCCAGCTCTGGGGTGCCCTATCTCTGCAGAGTGGAACTGTCCACACCCATCCTTCCCTGTGTTCTTCTAAACAGGTCATTTTAAGGTTTGGCCATCCCAATGAATTTTCCCATTTTATGTCCATGTTTTTTATTGCTTGCTGCATTTAAAGTACCCCCACAAATTTGGTACTTCTAAACAAGGATTTTATTATAAATAACAGTTCCTCCTCTCCCTTTCTTCCCCTTTCTCCTTCTTTGTAATAGAGAGAAATTCCACATTTTATTGTGTGTAATCAATGCATTTTGCTTGTTATATTTACTTTAAAAATCATTTCTTTTACACGCTTATTCTTTGACAGTGTCATCTAAGTTTTGATGTAATTGGATCATATATTCCTGTTAACTATCTCTTACTGTCTCTCAAATCTGCTGAATGCCTGTGGGTCCCTGAGAAAGCTCCTTCTATTTTCATGACTTTTTTGTTTTGTTTTTAAAGGTTTTGTAATCCACTGAGTTTAATTAGAGTTATTTGCATGAGCATATGTGGAAGGTTTATTTATTAGAGCATGTGAAACTAGCCAGTGGTTGCACCACTGAAGAAAGTGCCCCCCATCATTAACTGCCCATGAGTCCTTAAGGAGAGCTGGGGCCTCTAATTTTCCTTCTCCAGCCATGATGGAATGTTGCTAGGATCAATCTTGTACAAGTCTTATGAGGAAATCACAGCTGCTATGATTGTGTGAGTGGAATGGCCATGTCCTGTTTAGAACACAGCTCCATACTCCTCCTCTGGTTCCTACATTCTTTCTGCCCCTTCTTACTAAATGTCCCCTGCACTTTGGAGGGAGTGATATAGATGTGCTATTTAGGGCCAAGTTTTCATATGTAACCATTTGATTTGAGAGGGCTTCCATCAGAGCTTAGCTGGGTGATTCTTCTCCTGTTTAAGGTGTTTGTTGTATGGGTCCATTCATGACTTATGTTTGGGGGCTTGGCCAGTCTGAAGGAAAAAAAAGAGAATTTACTCAAAAGTCTGCTAGATTGAGGCCCAAAGCTGAGTTCACATAGATCTTTGTCTTTAGCACATGACTTATATCCTCCTAGTGTGGTCTCTCCAGCATGGGTGTAAACTTCTCACAAGGTGACTAAAACAGGCCAAAGTAGAAGCTGCCATCTTTGTAAAAGTAAGACAGAGGCTAGAATACTATCACTTTCACTAAGCAGACTGGTCAAGATAATAACAGGCTAGCCTAGGCTCAAAGGGATAGTAAATATATTTCATGTCTTGAAAATATATAGTCAATAATTTGTTATTTGTAATCCACTGGCATGCAGAACCAGAGTCTTATAGACAAATACATCTTGGAAAGTCTAACATTGTTAATGTATATACCAGTCAATTACCAAAATTTATAAGTGATTATTTCCTTGTGCAGTACCAAATAGGTACAATTAAGGGAAGATTGACAATTTGTAAATTAAACATAAATAGGTAAGAGATGTTTCTTATAAACATGTGATGTGCAGATTGGATAATTAGCTGATGTCTTGGCCTCTAGCCATTATGTGACTAGTTGTATTGTGCTCATGCTCTACAGTTATTTCTCATTAAACTGTGTATGTCCTGAGTTTTTATCAAACCCTAAACTATATTCTTTGTCGGATGCTGTGGATGTGTACACCAGGCAATAGATGCAATATACCCACTTGTCCTGACAGCAGGCATGTTTTAAGAATCACTCTGCTTCTTCTAATCCTGTTGAGCTTGTCTGTGTTGGCACTGACTGACAGCAAAAGCAATAACATGTAAAGGCACCTGCTGGCATTGATTTGGCTTTGCAGTCAGAGAAGACAAAGGGAGATTACTTTCCAGCATTTTGTGCCAGGACTGTTGATCTAATCTGATCTACACAGGGGCTCATATAAAGATGCAAGTTGTTTTAGGCAGGCATCTGGAGCTGTCTGGCTAGAAGAGTTATTATGTATCAGAACAAATTAGGCAAAATTAGTACAGCATTCAAATGGCACCAGCACAGGTGTAACGTTGGCTGGCTGCTAAAATATGTCACATAGCAACACAATCACACTCATTAAGGAAGACTAAGTTACATAGACATGGTGTGAGAGCAGAAAATATCATAGGCCATTTGTTCAGTAGCCATGATATGACTGGATTAATTGGAGAATGTCACAATTTGCTTTTGAAATGTTTTGCATCAGATGAAGAAAGACAACGTAAGAAATGATGGGTATTTTTTTGAGATTTGCTTTTGGATTTCTTCCCTTGTTTCCATGCTTCAGCTGAAGAGGCATTTATTAACTTATTCGTGTTTGTACACGTTTTCCTGTATTCACACACTCAACAGGATTTATTGAGGACTTGCTACTTACCAGGCACTGGGCCAGCAGCAAATGCTTGCTGGAGAGCAACATTAGGCACAGCTCCAGCTTCAAGGGGCTTCTAGAATATTTAGGGAGATAAGGAAATAAATAAACAACACATACATGATACACACTTAAATGGAGAGCTCTGTGTAAACTCTGTGTAAGGTAAGCTAAACGCTCACATTTTAGAATTCCAGAATTCCACGGTGTATGGTGAAGACTTTACTTCTTACTCTCCAGTTCAACCTGATTGTTGTTCTCTGTGAGGTAGCAACTGGGTAACTCTCCAAAAGAGGAAATTCAGGAGCCTGCTCCTTTTCCATTTCTGGTGGCTCTGCCCGTACTGTCAACAATTCCTCGATACTCTCCGTTCAAATAGCAGGCAAGGGAAGGGCCAACAGAGTTGTGGATGGGATATTTGTTGAGTCTGTCTTAGAAATGGGGAACCTTATTTCTTACTACACTGTTATTCAGAACTCAGGCACATTGTCATGTTTAGCTCCAAGGGAGGAGAGAAAGTGTATTTGTTACCTGAAATGGTAATGGGATGTATTAACTAGTCGCTGCCATATGCTCATGAAGACAAATTAAAATACAGATAAATGAAAAACATCTAAGATATAAAGTCCTCAGGGACTTTATAGTTTTGTTGATGAACTATATAAATTAATATTGAAGTCATGTACATTATTGATATTTAAATGAAAAATTAAGAGAAGATACTTAAGCTATCAGTGACTCTCAGTCTTTACGGGTGTGAAGGGCTGAGTATCATGATGAAGTATTTGCTGAGATAGTGTCTAGTAAGTGTCACAACTGAGTCACATATTTGTTAAAGAGGCTTGAAATGTCCAGTGCGCACACACACCCTCATTGCACAGTTGGGTTATATATTCTGCCTTCTGTTAGAAAAGTCAACACCTACACTTAATGGCATTAATTCTAAGCTTTCTCTGAAGGAACCCAATCAAAGGGAATTTGATCCTTAACAGAATCACAGAATCTATTGGCCTGGTCATCATAATCTGTCAGTGAAAAGCAGAAGATCGTGAATGGAGCCTGTCCTTGCTTAATTGGTTTGGAGGCACAGGGCCAAAACTCTTTCCAAGATGGCTATAGATGATCCACACAGAATTCCAGAGCCATCTTTCTCATGAGCCTGGCCAGTGTAACATCTGGCAACTGGCTGACTGAAACTGGGATCACTGTACACTCAAGTTCTGGACTGGTTGCAAGAACACTTTTTCAAAGGAGAAAGGAACATCCTTTGCTCTCTCTCTCTCTCTCTCTCTCTCTCTCTCTCTCTCTCTCTCTCTCTCTGTGTGTGTGTGTGTGTGTGTGTGTGTGTGTGTGTGTGTGTGTGTGCACATGTGTGTCTCACACACATACCTGGGTGTACGGTGCCAGAGGTTGACATTGGTCTTTTACTCTGTTGTTCTCCACTACATTTTTTTTATAACAGAATCTCTCTTTTAAGCATATTCTTTATTGATTCTTTGGGAATTTCATGTCATGCACCCCAATCCCCCTCACCTCCCTGTCCCTCCATATATGCCCCTCACTACTGCAGTGCCATGCCCCCCAAAAGACCCACCAATTTAATTAAAAACAAACTAAGGCAAACAAAAATACCATCTTGTTCATCCTTCCTGTCTCTCCAAACCTCTTCATTCATCCTAATGGCACTGGGAGCTGCATTGTGTCACACATTATACCCCTTTGTCCAGTCAGATCCACCCAGAAATGTTCATTGCATTGAGCATTGGTCTGATTAAAGGCCTCTGACCTCTGGCATGCCATCATCAATGGACTTTCACCAAAACTCCTCTTAGATATCTAGCAGTTGTCCTGAGTCATGGATAGCCTGTGGCTATCATTCTGCAGGGCCAGTCCCTTCGCACAGTCCAGCAGTTTATAGATGGGGTAGATGTTGGGGTGAGCCAACCCAAGGCCCAGGATGTGGGTGTGGATGGTAGCTGAGCTGGTCAGTCTGGGCCACTGGGAACACCTGCCTCCTGTGATGTATGGATCTAGCTCTCCTAGGCCCATGCCATCAGGGCCAGCTCTTCCATGCTCTTGGTGAGGGATAGGACCATCTCTTCTGATTGTGGGGGCCAGCTCTCCCATGAGGGGCCAGGCAAGGTCTCAGCCACTACAGTGTTTAGCCAGGCGCAAGGCCAGTAAAGGGTGGGGCCAGCTCAGCATGGACCTCCAATTTCAGCAAATATGGTTCCTATGACCCCATCTGGTAACCCTGGAATGGACAACAGCTGTAGCAGGACAACAGACCCAGATATAGCTCTCAGCAGCATCCCTGGCTGGGACAATACCATGGCCCAGGTGATAGCTCAGGCAACTAAGATTGTCATGGCCCCAGAGGAGGCCACATGGCTCTTGGACACTTGTATGGCTACAGGTGTGGCCTCGAACATGGGCCTGTATGGCCTTTGGTGGCAATTTGGGCCACTGATATCAACACAGACTCTGTTGTGGTAGGATAAGTGACCCAGACACAACCCTATGCTGCACTCTATGCTGGGTGTCTCTGTGGCTCCGGATGGCACCACAGTCCACTCAGTTTGGAATGGCCCTTGGCATTCCAAAGAGAACCCAAGACAGGTTCTCTTACTGAGACTGGAGCTTGCAGGTTCAGCTAGACTGGAAGACCAGTGATCCCTGAGGATCTGCCTGCCTCTTACTCCAGCCCCCACCAGGATAGAGACTAGTGCACTCTGGCTGATTTTTACCTGAGTGTTTAGGTCCTTATGCTTGTGCAACAAAAACTTTACATAATGAGCTGTCTCTCCAGCTCCCTCAGTGCATATATGTGTGCATTGATAAATGCTTCTGTGTTGGAAACACTGAAGTTTGCTGTGTCTTTTGTTAACTTCTGCCCTGAGGGGCCCTGTGAATTGGAGATATGGCTCATAAGAACTTTGAATCACTAAACAAATTATAGCCTGTGTTTCATCCAGTTTTTTTAACATTGGTAAGGCTTCTGAAAATGATATATATTAATAATTCATGTTATACAAGTCAAAGGATTGGAGAATGCAGAACAGATACAGGTTAGTAGGAATAACCTTCGGGGAAGAGACAGGGATTAGGAAATGTCTCTGAAAATACTGTTTGCCGATGACCTGCTTTCTACTCACCTACAGTGTTCAGTGGTGTGTGGACTGCTGGGCCATCTCCAGGTTTATATATACCACTTGCTGGCTCTGGATCTGGTGTTCGGTATGTCAGCCAGTGTTCCCTCAAGCTTAAAAAACAGCTGCTGGAAAGGGATAGAGGAAAACCTGAGTGTAAATCATCAAATTGTCCCTCTCCACTTTCTAAGTAGATGTCTATTTTCAAAGTGAACATTTTCTAGTCATTCCAGATTTGGGGCTAATGAAAGCTTATCTCAATACACAGTCAAGTCAAATAATTTTTTCTTGCTTCTTTCAAGTAACTAGTCAAATGGAATTGTTTGTCTACAGCAATCGCTCTTGCCAGAGTCAGCTGTCACAGACTATGCTTGGTGTTCCAGAGGTCTTATGAGACCCAGCTGTCAGGCCTGGAAGAGAATTGTGCCACCGCCACAGGTCAAAGAGGAGAGTGTATTGTGCTCATGGGATGTTGTCATAGTACCAGTGGTGGCAGGGTTAGTCGTACTCAATAATGAAGAGATCTTTGTGAAATTTCATTAAAAATCCTGAGGTTATAAAATAACTCCAAATTATGAAATATTTGTTTTGTGAATCTAGTTTCATTTGCAGTGATGTTGAGAAGCAGAGCAAAGATTTTTGGTACCACATTCTGATGTAACACATTTATATAAAGCTTTTAATTTGTACTCATACTTGAAAATCAGAATTTGAATTTGATGTGTAGGGAATTCTGGTTATAAACCAGTTACACCAATAAATTGATGATTTTGACTTTTTTATTGATAACATTATAAAACACAGGTATTCGTGGAAACTGTGGTCAATAAATATCATATATATTATACAATGTATACACAAAGTTATCTAGACCTTATTCAGCACTGTTTATGTAAAAGTGAAGTCTTATTAAATGGAAGTTTGTTGGGCATAAGTAGAGTGATATGACTATTTCAAAAGAGAAAGACAGAAATGTAATATACAGATGGTAGGAATTCTGGTCCCTTATACATTGGCAGTTTGTGTGTTGGCAGTATTCTCTCTGGATGTTTAAAGGCATTGATCACAGAGTGCCACCGAGTGTAACAACAGGTATAATGGGGAGAGACGCCTTGGGAATTGAGTCACATGAGAGACAAAGTCATGGTCGTCAGTCAGAGAAGGTAGCAGAGGCAAATGGTAAGAAAAATGGCAGGCTGTTATTTTTCACTTATTCTTGACACTTTGACCAGGTATGAGTTTCTGCTTTAACCACTTCCCAAGGTAATAAGAAACTCCTCTGAGGAAAGTGGAGCGAAACGCTTATCTATGGGCATAAACATGAGGATTTGAAAGGTGGTTTGAGGAGATGCTCTTTTTTCAAGCTCTAATTCCAAAAAAGGGCTGTGACAGAGTAGATGATACTTGTATACTCAGCCCAAGGCTTATGCAATCCTGCATTCTTTAACAGCAGGCAAGTCAATCCAATATTTGCCTAGCAGAGACAACATCTTTATCATTATTTGTATTATAAGCAGCAATCAACCTTCATTTTCTCTATATCCCAAAGCAATAGCAACAAACAATCCTGGAAAAGATCATTTAGAATGCAGGGCTCTCAGCACATGTGCTCCAAGGGCATCCTGCAAGACGAGAGCCCAGGCAGTGCTCTTCTGATAGCACAGTGGAGTAAAATTTTAGAACTAGCAATGCTTATTGCTTTGTCTTCTGGTTTTTGTTTCATTTAGACTGAATAAATTATTTCCATTTTGAGAGTATCATTAAACTGTCCAGTGGAAAGGAAATCCACACTTCCTTTTTACCAAATATTTCCACTGATATATTCCAACAGATGAGGTCTTCTTGATGAATGAATTGCAAAGTCTCCCCAATTTAATTCAGATAGATGGCTTTCTGCTGTTCAAATAACATTTATTTGAAATTACAAATAACATTAATTTTTCAAATCATAGCTATAATTCATTCTGAAAAATGTGCCTTGTTTAATACTTTCTTTAGCTTTGAAAATGATGGCTTACCATAATGAGTACTAGGACACTGCCCATACTAATGTAAATGTATACTAAGCATCTTCTCTGACTAGAAGTTATTTCAAGTGGCTACCCATATTAGCTTACTTCTGTCTTACAACAGTCTGAAGGAGGTATGATCCTTGCGTGTCTCACAAATGTGAAATGGAAGCTCAAACATAGTAACTATTTGGCTTGACACCAAATTCCTGAGTTTAAGGATCATAATTATGGATTATATGATTTCAATGAGATTTTTCTTTATCGCCTCATCTCCTTGAAAAATGAGCACATTTAGGCTCACATCGGCAGTGCTGAACTACTGTATGTCTGTAGCTCACCTAAATGTCTATTAAAGCTGCACATTGTCTCTCAGGGGGGAGATGCCTCACCTGGCATGCACACAGCATTGCATATAGCTTCACACAGCGGTTTTAAATGACACATTCAGTGTCAATAAATGCATCCATTTGTGCCATTGCAGGAGCTACCCATGATAAATTCAGCTATTTGCTATATTTTTCTTTGCCCTTTAGTGCTATTAAAGTTTTGGCAGCAGATTTTTTACTTAGAAATCAAATGTCCAGTGAGGTAAAAATATAGCATTCTTGGAAGAAACATGGGAGAACTGAGTTGTCACTTCTTTTGTTTGACTGTTACTTCATCTGGCATGGGAAGATAGGATCCAGCCTGATTAAGAAGACAGACCCTAGAGTCAGGCAGTTGGGATTCAAAGCTTGGCACCACTCAGAGAATACTTTAAAATACTTATGAGGTACTGTTAGACTAACCAGTCAAAATTAATATGCACTGAAAGAAACTAACTCATAGGCAGCCTTTTTGTCACCACTAGAAGCTGTGTCTTTGAGTGTTACAGAAGGGTAGGCATAGTCTTTATCTTAGATGTAAGGATACTTGAACACTTAGAGCAATGTTTGGTGGACATAGACAATGCTAGACACCATAGCTATCATAGTTACTAATATGTGAAAAAGCTTTAGGACTCTACTTTAAAATGTCTGCTGAAAGAACAAAGGGGATATCTCATTAAAGTTGAGCCTGGTGCAAGACTCTCTGGGAAAATTATGGTTTAGAGAAGTTTAAAACAACTTCAAAGGCTGTATGTGAGACATCCAGTGATGCCATCCAACAGGTATTAAATATAAAGTTTTGCTGTTGAGGTTTATAAAAAGTAACACCCTTGTAGGTAAAAGAAAAAAGAAGCCTCAAAATTTTATATTCTAAGGAATAGTAGATATACAGGGTATTCCAAGGAAGACTATGACCCACTTTTAGCTGGCTAATTGATGAGAGTGTGATGTTGCCTCCAGTTATAGCTAACCTGATTTGGGGCACACAGGTCAGACTGATGTTGCTGAATGCCCACACCACATATAGAATATGTTGGCTTTCACGAACCAGGCTGTGGATAGATAAATGGATAAAGCATATTTGTTCAGAGAAACATGACTGGGATTGTAAATAATGAGTCTAAAAACCAAGTAAGGGAACTTAGAGAGGTAAAGATAAGGGGAGAGGTTGTACGTGGTTTTCAGATATCTAAATAACTCAAGTGTGGAGAAGTGCTGTGGCAAGAACAAGACCTAGGCAGAGAAGGGGGACTCACCACTTTCTGGGGTACTGGGAAGTTGCTGGCATTCCTGAAACATTTAAACTCTGCTAATGATTCACTGTTAATGTTAATGATATGCTCTTCAAGATATCACTCCTATCCTCCTTTCAATGTTTATGCTCCTATAAAGAAAGGAGGATGTTGGGGGATGGGGTGACTTGACTGCCTAATTAGCAGTCTGCTGAGCACTCTTGTTGCTCTGTGTGCCTTGAGCAAAATCCTCTTCAGTGGAGCAGTCAGCTAGGCCACAATTACACTAACACTCGCCATTCTGAATGCTCCATGAATGCCAAGGGGAAGCTGTAAGGTGATAGCAGCCAACTAGACCACAATTACATTAACACTGGTCATTCTGAATGCTTCATGGATGCCATAGGGTATCTGTAAGGTGATAACAACTGCTTATTCTTCTGCCTGAGGGTGCAACCCTGGACAAGACTTAAATAGCTTGGGTTGGACTTTCCCGGCAACCATTTCCACCTGAACAAGAGGAGCACTTTACCCAGCTGGCCTGCAGAGGGATTCCTGTGACTGGTACAATGGGTACAGTGTCATGATGGGAAGACACATCAATATTCATCTTCATGAAAGGTTGCTCTTATTGGTGTAGACACACAGTCCCTGGCTATATAAGCAGGCTGTTGGGTGTACAAGCTGGGAGACATCTTCCTAGACTTCTTCTGATGTTGCAACCTTAGGTCCAATAAAATATTTCTTTCAAGTGGTCTTTGCTTAAAGTAGGAACTTTAGTTGGATAGGCTGAGAGGATAGCCTGAAGAACGACACGGTGCAAGAAGAGGCAACACAGTGGCAGTGACAGTGGCAGCAGTGATGGCAGGGTGTCAGTGGCAGTAACAAATGAGCTTCAGGGCAAGCAGAGGCAATGAAGCAAAAGTGAGGGGGCAGAAGCTTTGACGGCCACTGCAGAGGGAAAATGGAGAACGATGGCAGGTTGAGTGGAAGACCAGGGAGCCATAGCAACCAAGAATCTCTGGTGATCAGCCAAGATGGAACCACAGGAACCCGCAGAGCCTGGACTAGAGGCAGAAGTTCAGTTGTGGCAGTGAGTTAGCAGTTGGCCTAGAAAACTGAGATTTGGAACTGGACAATTCGCTGGTCCAGTTGTAAAGGTGGCAAAGCAATCATCTGTAATGGCACCTCCATAAGAGAAGAAGCCACAAGAGCAGGGCTTTACATCAGCAGAAGCATCAGTAGCCTAAAGGCAATTGGAACTGCCTTTTCAGTGGTTGCAACTGTGACCATGGCCACTACAATAGGACATGGCTGGGGAGTTGAAATGAGAGACAGAGCAGGACCATGAGGAAGAGCAGAAGTTGGAGGAAGGTAAAAGAGCCAAGGATAGAAAGGTATGAGGAGGCATGGAGGAGAAATGCTGGCCTTGACTGTAGAAAGAGGTCCAGAGTGCTGTCATTTCATTAGGGCCATGGGTCCCCTCACTCCTAACCCGAGCTATAATAACACTGGG